AGGGGGGCAATAGGCATGGCCAACTTATGTTTAAAAGTTACTTTAAGAACAACAACAGAATAATGAAGAACAATGAATCATCAGGATACCAACATGACTTTCAGCAATATATTTTATACTTCCAACAGAAATGCTTTATATATTTTTCATTTCCATTCTGAAAAATTATTCAGATAATTAATGGCATTTTATTTCCAAAACAATATTCTGTTCCTATTAAGTAATACTTACTTAGTGCAAAAGTTGTTGTATGCTAAAAAAATGCATTTTGCATTATTATTTTTAAATGTAGACAGGCCCACTAATCTGAATATCCCCTGTATGCAGTATTTTTCAAACAAACATGGAAAATAAAGTGAAGATTTTCTGAGGAATCTGTATTTATCTCGGTTTTGTTGCATGTCACAAGAGGTATGTGTAAAGAACCAATGTTTTCTTTGGTTTATGAATAACTCAGGATGAAGTAGCATTTTGGTTTTAGCCATTAGCACACGAATTGGAACTCCTGATGATTAATTTCATACCAAGTTTACTCCACAGAAGTCTGAAGTACTTCGAAATAAAACCAAATTCTAGTGAAAGATAGACAAAACATTGACATCTGACTTTCTGATCAGGTAAGATATAGGTAATGGTACTACAAACCTCTCAGCTTCTACTAATATATTTCAACCATGATGGGATGACTACCATATAATTTTTCAGTTCTTCTATTCAGATTGCAGGAAAAGATGCTAGTCCCAATACAGACAGCTAAGGATGGGGAAATAGATTAACAAAAAATGAACCTAACGTTGCCCTCAATTGCTTTTTCTTTTAAGGCCACAAAGCAGCAACAAAGTGACATTAGAAGAACTGCCATATTTATCAGTGTGGCAATTCAGACAACGGGTGCCTTGCAGAAAAATGCAGGCAGCTTTTTTCAATGCTCTGTTGGAAGTCCAGCATCCTCAGTACTCTCTCTTTCCTTCAATCTCTTGTTTGCTTCAGGTGAGTGACTACAGGCCATTTTCATTTGAAGCCATTTCTGTGAACAAAACTGACTTCACAGAAGTGGCTTTACATACTCCACTCTCTGAACTGGACTACAGTCAATTTAAAAGTAGACAGTAGACACTCAGAAACTGTCTGCACTTTAAAGTATAGGCACTAGATTTGATAAAGTGCTAAATCCTGATCAAGTGGAAAAACGTACCAATTCAAGACACAGTGCTTAACTTTTTGTGTAAACCTCAGGTTATAGTAGATTGTTCTAACAGAGCTAAATCAATAGCAATAGCATTTTTCATTCCAAACTCATAGTGCATTTCTGCATCTGCTGGATGTCGGATGTTTTTGCCAACTTTTGACATAAACCACAACACAGGGCTATAGCACAAGGCAGCAGCAGCAATCCTTTGGTTTGCTTTATCACATATTTCTCAACTGTTGTTGACCCATCCAATTCTTGTAATATCAATTTCACCTTGTCTACAACACTCCTTAAATAATGAATTGTCTGAAGCTAAAGGTACAAATGCAGCTGTGTTTTCCATAACATGTTGTTAAACCACAAACACTAACCATAACCAATAGAAACAACGGAACCAGATTTTGCAACAAGCAGGCTTAAAGGCCTTAACACTGCTCTCTAAAATGCTAATACCACTTTAGTCTTGCCCATATAACAAGATTTAAACCACATTTTCTGTTCTAGAGCAGAGCCATTTCCACTACAGATTTAAAAAACAAACAAATTTGTTTACAACAAAAAGTCTAAAATACAAAAAGGAAAACAATCACTAATGAAACCTGTTCTTATCTCAAAAGCTGGCCTTGAGTCCAAAGACTAAGCTATTCTGTTTAAGTCCCTTTTTGGATCTGAGAAGGGTAAGTCCAAAACTGTAATCCTCAAGCTCTCTGCTTCTAGGCTAATACAAGAAACAGCTGATTTCAAAAGCATGACCGCTTAATACTTTATTCATACAGATGCCTAGAAGTAATTTGGTTTTGACTGGGCTCTGATTACTTTTAAGCCTACATTAAGATCTACATGATTTTTTTTCAGACCTTGCTTGGGACTTAATCTGTAGGTGTTCCTGTAAGCATACCAGTTGGGTTACGTTCTATACAAAACACTGACAGTCCATGTCTTTTGGGGAGATTTTTTTGTTTGTTTTAAATAAAGAACCTCTTCCTGCAACTGCATTATGTACAGGTATTTTTATGTTCAGTAAGTCAGTGGTTAGATCAGTCACTCAGGAGATAAACAATCTGCACTGAAGATACTCTTCTCTCTTTCATTGCTACAGTGAAAGAATCTACTATGAATTTCTGTAATCACCTGACATCAGGTAGCAAAAGGAATACTCTTGTGAAAAGGGGTTTTGTTGCTAGTGCCCAGTGAACTTCTGAAGAATAGAAATGTCTCTTGGCTCTGAATATTTCTGTGACAGCAATGCAGAACTACTACACACAACTCAATACCTGTGTTGTTGAATCCATACTACTTAGTGGGGATAGAAAGACAAAAGACTCACATCAACTGTTGAATGAAGTTCAGTGTTTCCAGAGAACCCGATTCATATATATCTCAGTATGGCTGAACTGGGAAACAGTGTTTCCTGGGCAACTATTGAAAATGCCTGGCCAAGACACCTTCCCCCCGCCCCCCCTTCTTCTGTGCCTTGGTGACCAATATTTAAGAGATCACCTTCACAAAATATTAAATTATCAATAGGTGATTGAAAACTTGGAGAGCTGTGAATAGGATCTCTAACAAGCTACTCTGAAGAGGTTAATTTCTGTCTTGAAGATTTGTTACCATTTTGGTGCTTCACTGTTGCTTTGCTGAGATAATTGACTTTAAAAACTACATTACATTTTAACAATAACTTCTTTCATTTCCCTTTATACAGCAGATCTTAAAAAATTAGCACTTAAAACTGCAGTTTTCAAAGACCATTGAAGTGGCAGCCTGCAGGACTGATAAGCAAACTTCTTGAATTGCTCACATGATGATTAATGATCAAGCAGTTCAGACCCAAAATGGAAAGCAAGATTTCTCCCCCACACACACACTATTTTAAACCCTACAAAGTAAAAGGTGGAGAAATGGTGATGGGGAAGTGAGGGGAACTTAAGGGAAAGAAAATAGCAGCAAATGCTCTGGATCTAGGTACAGGAAAACTGCTTTGATGCAGGACTTGATAGAAACTCCCCTGCCAACTTGGGTATCAGGAGTATATCAGATATGCAGGTGGAGACAGCGAAGGAAAAGGGAAATGCACACATACAGTTTCTGCTGCTGCCTGAATTCTCTGGGGAGCATTCATGCCCAGAAACAGCTAGTGACAAGTTACGGCATCTGAGGTTTCTGCAGATGCTTTGCTGTTCTGAAGAGTCAGATAATATCTTTTTAAGATGTCTAAGTATACATTATAGAGCTTAACTTCTGTCAGTCATGTGTGGCTTTTATTGACTTGGAAGAGTTTTCAAACAGAAAGAGCTGCCAGACCATCACCAAACTTGTGTCTCCTACTATGGGAGGAGGGGGGAATGGACAAATAAAGTAAAAAATTAACTGTACTTAAAGTATCTGTCTTAATCTATCAGTGTCTTTGTTTTGTTAATCAGAGCCTACTGACTTATGATTAAGTTTTCCTTCTATCATTGGTGCATAAAAGGTGAACTTTTTATACACAGCATATTAGCAAAGTCTGAGATTTTGGGAATAAAATAAAACCTGCCAGATGTGACATACCATTTTAAAATTCCAGCTGAGCAAGAAAAAAGTGCATGCCTCTCATTGGAACAGGAAAGCGAGTAAGACTTTGCAAAAAGACATGAGATTGTACTTCAGTGAAACCCTTGATTTTTGGGTTACATTCATGTCCATCAACAGTTAACTAGTCCCAACACATACTTATGTCAGGCTGATTATGAAACATCTTGCAAGAGTAAAACCAAGTGTTTTTAGGGAAGAAAACATGATTTTTTTCACTTAAAAGTATTGACCTACTCCTCTATTATTTTTTAAATAGAAATTTTAATATCTCATTACACTGTTGTAAAGAAAGGCTGGTGGCATAAAAGCAGTCTATTAGCTACTTACAGAAGACAATTTTCCATTGCAGCTGTAAGCCACAACATCTCTACAATATCAGAGAAAACTGTGTTGCCTGTTATACTATTTTCTGAAAGAAACCTTTGAAGCCACCCGCTTAAGAACAGGCCTGGTAGATACTACTCAGCTGAGAGCTTATGAGTTCAGTAACCTGAGGAAAGAAAATATCCACTGAGGACATTTAGGAAAAAGTGTCTCATCATTTTGTGGCAATTGCAGACTTCAGTTATGTTAAATGGAATCACTTCTCCATGCCAACAAAAATATTAAGAAAACGGCATGGACATTTGAATTTATAAAGACAGAATCTGCGATGCTAGCTTCACATTTTTTATTATGCAACTACAAAGCTAATGCTTGCCTGCCTTTGAAATCAGAAGGTAAGTTTTTAGTACAGTGTGTTGGCCACACCATTTCCACAAATCAATCCAAATCCATTTAAAATGCATTCTGTGTAGTGCTTTTATGGAAGATAGAGGGGAACTAAAACACTAGGAAAGCATCTTTCCTTTCCTACCCATAAACAAAAGCTACCAGACTGAAGGCAGACAAACTTAGAGCCATCTTCATCATTTCACATTTCTCCTCCTGCTTGTCTAGCTTCTTCTTATCAAAATACTTACAGTTCTATTTCATGATAAAATTTGCATGCAACAGACACTCATAAATCTGTAACAAAGAACCTATCAAAAATGGAGGTAAAAATTTTGCATTTTACATCCTTGCACTGTAAGCACAGACGCTTCCAGTGACTTCTTAAATGTCTGGCATAACCCTGTAGGAACAGCTTATGAGTAAGTCCAATATACCTGTACAGTTTCAGAGCAATTTTGTGTGGCATGCATATCCAGAAAATTAATATTTTTATATTTATAATAAAGGTGTACATACTAACCTGCCAAGGCCGATCCCAATCAAGAGGAATAGGAAATGCTCCAAACCAAGCTCCAAGTATACTGCACATGGTAGTAATCTGTAGATTGCTTTCCCAGATGGACATAGCTCTGCAAAAACAGTGTTACAAGATTTCAAGAGCAGAAATTATCATGTCAGAATGTTAGATCTGATTTCTCCCAAGATTTTTGAGACTACAAACAGATACAAAAATCCATATATTTGATAAATAGTATGCAGGTTTCTCCTAAAAGATACAAACTACATAAAATGTAAGTTGCATATTTTAGCTATAATCACAATCCTTCTATACCACACATTCAGGAGATTTTTTCCCCCTTGAGATGTTTACTGCAAAAGCTAATTTATTTTACCTGGAAATACTCCTATTGAGCTTGAAACACTGACTGAGCAAATGAAAATATCACAATGATATTGTGTGCACTGCAGGGAGAAGCAGACATGAAAGGGTAGCTTGCGATTGTACAGAAAAGCACAAGCACAGTCATGAAGTACTCTATGATATAGACACGTTATTATTTGACAACTACGACAATTTGAAATTTAAAATAGAATTCCACTGTGTGGATATTCCAAAGCAAGTTTCCATCAACTGAAAAGAAACACTGCAAATAAATGCAACCTGCATGTTGCAGCACTTCAGCAATATTGCATCCAAGTTCAAGTACACTGGCTGCCCAATAAATTTATTGCACGCTAAAGAACTCTTGCATTGCCAATCATGGCACATATCATATCATAAGAGATGTTAATGACTTCAGTTCTCAGCTTATAGCCTTCTACCACTACTGACTTCAAAAGTTTTGTAACAGTTGGATTTCTATTTAATAGATAAGCACTTACTGCCTATCATCAGTCTACCAAGTGATTGCTTTTGCTTTTCTCAAGCCATGATCATTTGAGTAGAATCATAGAATCATTTAGGTTGGAAAAGACCTTCAAGATCGTCGAGTCCAACCATCATCCATGCCCACTAAACCATGTTCTGGAGTACCTCGTCTACGTGCTTTTTGAATACGTCCACGATGGTGACTCAACCACCTCCCTGGGCAGCCTGTTCAATGCCTGACAACCCTCTCAGTAAAGAAATTTTTCCTAATATCCAACCTAAACCTTCCCTGCCACAACTTGAGGCCATTTCCTCTTGTCCTATCTCCAGCCACCTGACAGAAGAGACCAGCACCCACCTCACTACAACCCCCCTTCAGGTAGTTGTAGAGAGTGATAAGGTCTCCCCTCAGCCTCCTCTTCTCCAGACTAAACAGCCCCAGCTCCCTCAGCCACTCCTTGTAAGACTTATGCTCCAGGCCCCTCACCAACGTGGTTGCTCTTCTTTGGACACACTCCAGCAACTCAATGTCTTTCCTGTAGTGAGGGGCCCAAAACTGAACACAGTACTCGAGGTGCGGCCTCACCAGTGCCGAGTAGAGGGGAATAATCACCTCCCTGCTCCTGCTGGCCACACTATTTCTGATACAGGCCAGGATGCTGTTGGCCCCCTTGGCCACCTGGGCACACTGCTGGCTCATATTCAGCCGGCTGTCAACCAGCACTCCCAGGTCTTTCTCTGCCGGGCAGCTTTCCAGCCACTCTTCCCCAAGCCTGCATGGGGTTGCTGTGACCCAAGTGCAGGACCCGGCACTTGGCCTTGTTGAACTTCATATAACTGGCCTCAGCCCATCGATCCAGCCTGTCCAGATCTCTCTGTAGAGCCTCCCTACTCTCAAGCAGATCGACCCTGCCTCTCAACTTGGTGTCATCTGCAAACTTGCTGAGGGTGCACTCAATCCCCTCATCCAGATCACTGATAAAGATATTAAACAGAACTGGCCCCAATACTGAGCCCTGGGGAACACCACTTGTGACCCGCCGCCAACTGGATTTCACCCCATTCACCACAACCCTCCAGGCTCATCCAGCCAGCCAGTTTTTCACCCAGTGAAGAGTACACTTGTCCAAGCCATGAGACGCCAGCTTCTCAAGGAGTATGCCATGAGAGACAGTGTCAAAGGCCTTGCTGAAGTCAAGGAAGATAACAACCACAGCCTTTCCCTCATCCACTAGGCAGGTCACCTGGTCATACAAGGAGATCAGGTTGGTCAAGCAGGACCTGCCTCTCGTAAACCCATGCTGACTGGGCCTGATCCCCTGGTTGTCCTGGACTTGCCATGTGAGTGCTCTCAGGACAAACCATTCCATAATCTTACCCAGTACCAAGGTCAGGCTGACAGGCCTGTAGTTCCCCAGATCCTCCCTCCGACCCTTCTTGTAAATGGGCATCACATTGGCAAGCCTCCAGTCCTCTGGGACGTCCCCTGTTGACCAGGATCGCTGATAGATGATAGAGAGTGGCTTGACAAGCACCTCTGCCAGTTCCCTCAGTACTTCTGGATGGATCCCATTGGGTCCCATAGATTTGTGAGTGTCCAGATGGCGTAGGAGGTCACTAACTGTTTCCTCCTGGATTAAGGGAGGTATATTCTGCTCTTCATCCTTGCCTTCCAGCTCAGGGGGCAGAGTACCCTGAGGATAACTAGTCTCCCTATTAAAGACTGAGGCAAAGAAGGCATTAAGTACCTCAGCCTTTTCCTCATCTCTGGTGGCTATGTTCCCTTCTGTATCCATTAAAGGATCAATATTCTCCTTGGGATTATTTTTACTGTTAACATATTTGTAAAAACATTTTTTGTTGTCCCTTACAATAGCGGCCAGATTGAGTTCTAGCTGAGCTTTTGCCTTTCTAATTTTCTCTCTGTATGATCTAACAAGATCCCTGTACTCCTCCTGAGTTGCCTGAGTAGTTGGTACCAATTAAGAAACAAGAACAGCAGAAGTTCAGAACACAGCAGGGCACAGTTCTGAGATAGGAGAGCCAGGCTGAAATCCCTGCTCCAAATCAGTAAGGTAAGAGATCTGAATCCTAAGTTTGCTACATCTCAGATTATAAACGCAAACCTAGCTTTAGCTAACAGAAGAAAAAAGGTGTGCATTTCAATGGCTAGAAGACTAGATGGATAGTAAATTCTGAACTTCACATGTGCTGTTTAGGTTGCATGACATGAAAGCTTTAACCCTACACCTTGTTTGGAAGAGTCTAAAATTTCTGACTTTACTTCTGAGTACACCTAACTCATTGCTGCATTTGCTATTGACCAAATGGCTCACAAGTGTAAAGCAAACATTTTTTCATTGTTTGCAAAATAAAGGTCATACAGATTATAGTATTTATGTGCAAGGTTGACATTTTGAGCAGAACTGTTTCTTCTACAATAACCACATCCCTTTAACTTAAAACACTCCATTTCAATTCACAATCCTACTAGCTTGAGATTTTTTTTTAAAGGGAAAGGTCCTGATTTAACTATAAAACTGTTTAGGAGTCTGCACATAGAAAATTCTTGTAAATTATTTTCAGAAGCTGAATAACTGAGTGGAGAGCTGTTACGCAGCATGGGGAAGAGAACATTCACTACAGCCTTAAAGCAGTGAAAGAGGCAGCAGAATACACTGAGGACTGACTGAGGTACATTTATACCCCACAAGACATCTTACCTGGTAAATCTACATGCACATTGCTGCACCATATGGACATATCAGACTGAGTCCAAAAGCAAAACAACAGAATTAGCAAGGCACAGTGCCCAAGTGCAGAACAGCCATTGGTAGTTTGGCAACCATTTGGGCTGCTAATTCAACTACTCTGCAGCATGGACACTGGCTACTCAAATACAACCTGACTTGTCCTCCAACGTTATCCCGAAGGAACTATACTTTGGTTATTCTGTTTTCTTTGTGGAATGTCACCTATTGGGATTTTTGCAGGTATTCTTTAACCCACTAACCCATCACATAAAACCCGCATTTGCACGAGGCTAACAACTGCAGCAACATTTATAAACTTTGAGTTTTATAGGTTTCTTTATTTTTTAACTATGAATGAACTATAACTAAGATCATTCTGCAGGCAAAACTAGCAATACTTAAGATAATAAATGATCACTAGTGGCACAAAGGCCTTTTAAAGCCTAAAGTAATTATTTAACCCCTCTAAATAATACAATACATTAAATGCTGTTTTAAACAATGTTTGAATTAAGAGGTTAGCTAACATAAAAGAATTTACTAAAATAACTCCTGAACAGACAAGATCTGGAATTTTGGGCTGCAGCAGCACTTAGCATTTGATGGTGCCTACCTTTACAAAGGATGTTTCCAAGACTGTACGAGTTTGCAGTTCACAAACAAGTGATAACATAGGTGAAATGAAAACTGGAAGGAGCCCTAAAGTTATGTTTTTATACTAGATTTTGGCAAGCTCCAAATAAAATCTATTTCCCATCCAAATGACATCTTATAATTGCTATTATACCAGAAATTTCAACACAATTACTCAGACTAGTGATTTGAACTAAGTCTCCAAAAGGAGCAATAAAAAAATCAGCAATTGAAAGCTGATTTCTTAAAGGCTTTTATGCAGGAGGCTATTTCAGCCAACAACTACTGAAAAGCCATTTAAAGAATAGTCACCTGCTTCCATTAGTGCCGATAACCCTTTCTGTAGCTTTTATTTCCCACTGTCAGCTTACAGCAGCACATGATAGCATAAGATCAGTGTCACGACATTGGTCACAACAATAGATGTCAGAATACGGCGTCCAGAAATAGCTGGCATGGGCCTACCCCTTCCCAAATGCAGAATTAGTGAAAAGAGCCCTATTTACAGCCTAGTTAGAATTGAAGTTTTTATGATGCAGAATACACAAACTTACTTTCCTCACACATTCTAAGTGTACACAGAGTATAAATACGTGGGTAAGAACAAATTGTTCAAATTTCTTAATATAAAGTAATTAAAAAAAAAAGAAATCTATTTAGTCTATCAAATCAACATTTCCAATTCAAAAGTGTACTCAGTTTGAAAACGTGGAGTATGTGCAATTTTCTAAGCTGCAACTGTTTTTCATGCAATTGTTTCATGTATATAAAAAAACCCACCCCAACCAAATAACACCTCCCCTCCACCCCACCAACAACCCAAACTTTATAATATAAACATTACACCTGCAGTGTCACAGGTTACATGTTGTCATGAGACGGCACATATAATCCACCTCCTAGAGGCATGGGCACTTAATGACTGATCTTGTAGTAACCTTATTAGAAGTGATTTTAATAGCAGTGACTGCACTTCCAAGTGCTGCAAGTAGAAACAGAGAAAGCTAAGCATCTCTGCAGAAAAAATAAGCTCTTTGCAAGTTTATACCCAAAATATTTAAGTCAGACTGACTCAGTTGTACCATAGCTATTATGATGCAATAGATTACATGCAAGATACATGAATGTAACTTTATGAATGGTCCTATGAAAAGACATTACATACATCAGTATTTTCATACTAGATCACCTAAAACACAGCAGAGAGCTATCCAGAGCAATAGCTAGGTAATTAATATCTGTTACTTATTTAGACTTAGTATGTCAAGATAAACTTTCTAGATGTCTTCTTCTGTCTTTCTGCAAAGACAATAGCACAAGCACATTTTGATCTCATAAATATTGCACAGGCAAGTAATAGTAACAAAATAAATGCTAAATTGTATTCAGATATTTTTAAAACACATTCTTTTTTCATACTGTCCTGGTTTTGGCTGGGATAGAGTTAATTTTCTTCCTAGTAGCTGGTATAGTCTTGGATTCTGTATGAGAAGAATGTTGGTAACACTGATGGTTTTAGTTGTTGCCAAGTAGTGTTTAGACTAAGTCAAGGATTTTTCAGCTTCTCCTGCCCAGCCAGCAAGAAGGCTGGAGGGACACAAGAATTTGGGAGGGGACACAGCCAGGACAGCTGACCCAAACTGGCCAAAGGGGTATTCCATACCATGTGATGTCATGCCCAGCATACAAACTGGGGGAAGCTGGCCTGGGGGGGCATCGCTGCTCAGGAACTATCTGGGCATCGGTCAGCGGGTGGTGAACAATTGCATTGTGCATCACTTGTTTTGTATATTCCAATCCTTTTTTTTTTTAATTATTATTATTATTATTGTCATTTTATTATTTTTATTATTATCATTATCAGTTTCTTCCTTTCTGTTCTATTAAACTGTTCTTATCTCAACCCACGAGTTTTACCTTTTTTCTTTTTCCCCCCAATTCTCTCCTCCATCCCACTGGGTGGGGGGGAAGTGAGTGAGCGGCTGTGTGGTGCTTAGTTGCTGGCTGGAGTTAAAACACAACACATACTAAGCTGTACACTTAATCAGACTTTCCAGCTTGCTGTTCCAGTGCAATTCAATTCGCTAAACTCTTCTTTCAAGGCAAACAGCTGTACTGATCTTACCTAACCATCCTTTTCCTCCATTCAACCAGTCCCACCTCATTCCACATGGTTAAGTTAGAGACCTTTTAATACATCATGTCTACACTCAGCTCACACCTAAACACAATACGTTCCAACTCATTCGTGAGGTCAAATGAAAAATCACGGGATTGTTTTTAAAAGAGTAGCTTGCTACAGTCCATAAAAAATTTGCTACATATTTCTTTGTAGTTTATTTTCATTCAAAGGCTAGTCTGAATAAACATCATTATTAAATAGACATTTTATTCAGATAACGTCATATGGCTCACTAATAACAAGTATGTACAAGTTGTCACAGCAAAAATGTCAAAACAAGACAGCTCTGTTTTCCTATGCAATAATTGTGCTGAAATAACATCAAGATGTAGACTAGGAAAGAACAAAATTGACAGGCAGTCAAAATCTAACCTGGCACAAAGACAGACTGTTGTCAAACATCTGTTACTTCAATTCAACTATTTCCAGTTGCAAAACCTCCAAAGATGACTAAGTGAATCAGCAATGATTTGTTTTGACTAAACAACTCCATGCTTTTATTAAAGTCTATTCAGCCCTTCCACTGAAAATAAAAAAACCAAGCATAACTGACTTGAAAAGGCTTCAAGATATTTTGCAGTAAGCTGAGAACTGAGATAAACCAAAAGTCAATACCTGAAACTACCATAAAATGTCTACTTTCATCCTCTTCTACAGAAGTTTAAACCAAAAGTAACTCTACAGGTCATCAGCATTATACAACTTTTCACTTTCTTTTGAGATGAGACTTTACTCTTATGAACTATTAAAAGGGAATGAATGCTAACATCTTATTATTAAATCTCAAGTGTGGGGGGGGCTTCTTTATGTTTCAGCGCCCCAGTCTTTCAACAATCCTGTTATTTAGTGAGTGAAAAAAGACAGAAGAGAGAGAATGCTTCTGAAAAATACATTATCCTTGACACATGCTAATGTAATGGCTGCCACTGAGGTGAAAAGGAGGTTAAAAGGCTCATTTTACTTTAAACATACTCTTGAAAAAAATTAATGCTTGAAAACTCACACTGAAAACAGCTTTCTTTGAAATTTGAAAAAGAGCATGAGTGAAGATTACATGATACATTGTTTACATCAATTCTGTCCATTTCTGTTCTGTATAAAATCAGAAACTTTAGAATAGAACTTACCCATTTTTACTAAATACCCGTATCCATGCTTGTATGTTTGGTCCCAGCATACACAAGCATTGTAAAGTAGTAAAGGTAGACAGGAGAACTGCAAACAAAAACGTCTCAGTCACTGACCTACAAAGAAGGAATATTACAGAATTAAGCGAGGTAGTTACTAATTTTCTAAGAGTTCCAAGATTTAGGAAAAAAATGCTTGGATATTTACTTCATTATTCCATTTGTGTTTCTAGTTTGATGTTGTGGAAGCAACCATGAAACCAAACTACATGATGCCATTGTTAGTAACTTAGTATCTCTTTCAGAAATCAGGCTGCTTCGTGCCCCTCCCCCCCTTTGTTTTTCTTTTTTAATCATTCCTAAAAATGAAAACACTAATATCAAAAGGATGAAAGATATGCAAGATGCATGTTTTAGAATCTTATGGGGAAAATGACTAAATGAAACTTAGAAAAATGTTTGTACCCGTTTAACATAAATACTAGTAAGTAAAAGGAGTTGTTTGTAACTGCCTTGAGCAACATTATCTCCAAATATTCAGAAATTGCAGGAGCCAGCTTCTAAAAAAACCCAAACCTCCAAATAGAAAAACCCCCAAAACAGCCACCCGTCTTCCCCCAGCCAGGAGCTTATGCTTTAACTTCCAATGTACCAGGAAATACACAAGTACTTATACCAGTATCTGCAAGGAGAACTGTCCCTTAAAATATTTAGAGAAAGATAGGGTCTTCTGACTTACTCTATGAGAGGTGCTCCATAAAGAACAATAATCGCATGAAATAGTATGCAAGACATGAAAAAGTATATACAGCATTTTAGAAATCTGGATATCTAAAAAAGAGCAATAGAATATCAGAATAATGTTTCAAAAGAGAACCTAAGTAACATACATAGTCTATACCTTATCAATAGCATTGTACTCAACCCATTTCTTTAATTTCAGCTACAGCACAGGATGATAATAGTATGGCATATTTCAAAGGTTTTCCCTATGTTTAATACTTCAAATAATTAATTAAAAATGATCACACTCCATCTAAAATTTTTTCATGCACCCTATTATAAGACAAACGTACAAAAAATGTAACTGGAAATAACAAGATAAACAGAGATGATTTTATTGGATATTTTTTACATTTCTGTTTTACATCTGAGCGTTATATCCATTCATTAAAAGGCATCTTTCACAGAAAGTGAAAAAATATTTAAAAGCAAGAAAATATGTAATATGAAAAACCCCCACTACATTTGAACTTGGCATCTTAAATTCTAAAACCATTTGAGAAATGTCCATGACTTTCTATAAATCTGCAAAACACATATAATTTTCTTTGAATTTAAACAACAGTTTCTGGGTATTCACTATGTCATACAGAAGCATAGCCACTTGATGAACAGTTCTGGTTAGGTCTGTTCTGATCAGGTCACCAATGGAAATCCTTAATTTCACTTGAACACTTTTTTTTGACATGCTAGGCTGGGATGAGATCTCACCTAGAACACAAAGCCTGCTTCATTTTTAAATCACAGATGGTTAAAATACTTGTTTTCCATAAATATTTTGTGTATGTCACATCCCCCCTCAGTCAGCAAAACTAGACAGAAGCTTTGCATACAAAGACACAGCTTTCAGGGATGTTTGCTTAATGTTTAAGAATCACCACATCAGAGCACTAAATCTTGTCTGACTCAGCAAGTTGGGAGTACAAGACTATCCACCTGACTTCAAAATGCTGTATATTCCTCCACTCCTGAACAAGTTGTGTGCTGCTCCAAATTCGCTTTGTTCAAACCTAATTTCATTGGGATTCATACCTTATTGCTCCTGTTACAAACTGTAACTACAAAAATTTCTCCCAGATTTAGATTCTTCTGTATGCATATTTCATCATTCAGGGAAATGTAGCCATTTCAATACGTTTCCATGTGATTTTTTAAAATTTACCAATTTTGTTTAAATTGTAATGAGCTAGTCTCTCTTTTATGTTTCAAAACCAAAAAACTACTTCTCTTCCTTTAAAGTTATTGGAAACTTATAACTGCACATGAGAACAGTGTTTCTTCATAATGCTGAAGGTCAGGCCTGGACTATGAAACAAATTCTGTGCCTAATCGATTTTGCCAATTTTTGCCACCACGCAACTTGCCTGAAAGATCAACCACTGGGACTACAAACAACAATATATTGACAAGAAAAAGGAAAGGCACAGAATCACTCACCTGAACAGATTATTTACAGGTAAAGAAAGTTTCACATCACAAAAATATTGGAGAACTTATTTCAAAAGGTGCTACACTCAGCTCATTCATGGAAAACAAGAATTCACCAGCAAATTGTCTTCTCTCTTTCTCATTTGATCATTTCAGTGAAAGAATTCGCTTCCCTTCCATACTGCCTGGCAGCAATTTAAGAATAAAAGTCTTACCTTGTGAGCAAAGGAACTTCTCTTAGGAGACAGATTTGGTTTAAGGACTAAGTGCAAGATTATATTAAGGGTACTAACACAAACAGAACATATACACAGCCACGCGAGGTGTGTTCCGAAAACTGTGAATCCGTCCCAGAAGGAAGCCGGAACAACCGCTGACAGAATAACTGAACAAACACAGAGGAGGTTGGCAGCCAAGAGCCTCCTTACTTCTGCTTCTTTCATTGTGTTCCTATTAACCGGCCACCTGCAAGACAGCAAGTCGCACCCCGTTACTGAAGCACTACAGGGTAACGTTTTTCCCAGTCGCACTACACAGGGCAGAACTCTGAGTTTAGTTTGGAGGTAAAAGTGATTATTTGGGGGCAAAAGAACGTCACTTGTTTAAAAGCCAACCCCAAGCCCACGGACGCAGCAGCACGGCGCTGTGAGAGCCGGGCGAGCTGCTGAGCGCTCCCACCGAGCAGGCAGGCAGGCAGGCAGGCAGCCTGCCCCGCACCGGCACCCTTCGCGCCACCGAGCTCCCTTCCTGACAGAGGCAACCGACTCAGCCCCTGCCGCGCCCGGGCTGGGCTGCTCCTCACCGCTCCCTCTTCAGCCGGGAGACAGCGGCGGTGCGGCCTCCTGACAGGCCTCGCTCGGCAGCAACTGTCCCAGGCCGTGAGGAGGGGG